GTATTACATTCTATTCATATTCAAACCTCTATATTTAGATTATCAGATTTAGAGATAATGATAAAATTTTAGATTTATAAATAATAAAGAATCTTGTCATATATATGTGAAATATATGACTATGTATATTCTTTTATCATTCAATAAATTAATAATAAGCTTCAACTTTTATCACATGTAATCCTATATTGTAGGTATTGCCATAAGTGTTATATATTCTAAATTATTCAACTAATTAATCTGGAAATCTAATTGTAACTACACTTTATGCTAAATTACTTTCATAAATTTTTGTTTCTATATTTTAGAATTTGATAAACACTTTTACTCTATAAACCCTATTATCTTAATCCCATAACCAGATTTTTATAGTATTTAATTCATATTTTTGTATCAAATCTACTTATATAGATTATCCTATTCGACACCATTGGTATCCATATGCTCCACCTATAATATAAATTGTATCTCTAAAAATCAATAATAATATTCTGTAAAAGAATGCTAATTGTTTTCTGATTTTAAATTTCCATTCTTATAATTTAATATATTTTGATAATTTCCTCTAATAATTGATTTAGTTCTAGATAATCTTTTCAAGCATTATTCATTGGTTATTTAACTATCGCTAATAATAAATAAGACAGTAATGATTGAGGCCAACCTTATTAACATTAATTACTTAATTCAATTTTTATTTATTAAATCATGCTATTTGTAAAATAAAAATGAGGATGATCAATACAGAGTTTTAGAGAGTTGCTAAGCCTTTAGAGATTGTATCACTGTGTCTCAAAGCTATGATAATCTATTTTTTAATTTGGATAAGAACTCATTAACTTATTAATTTAGTCAGAACAGAAGGCAAATTATAATTACAATAATTGAATATTTTATTACTTAATAATTTTTTATCAAAGTTATTTTTTAGTACTTATTTTGTAATATTATTACTCAAATTTTCATTTCTTATTCTTATTTAGTATCCTAAAAATATTAAACAAGACAAATGGAATGATAAAAATCCTTTTTTGTTATATTAATTCTATTCAGGAATCAATTAATCACAATAAATAATGATATTTTTTGATTATCAAATTGTATTTCATACTTTAAATTAATAATATATATTAATTTAAGTCAAAGGGTCAAATTATTTTATAAAACATATCAAGATCTAATTAGTTTTGTTAAAAAAATTTAAGCGAAGTTAAAATATTCATGACGAATCAAAGCAAAACAGTTTTGCTTTGATTTAATTTGCTTATAATATTAAATAACAATTATTGTATCTATAATTATTATGATGAGGAAATTTTTGGGGTATTCATCAATTAATATTTTTTTATTATTATACCTCTGAAAATATTGCAATTTTATGATTATGGATATATTTTTTACAAATACAGCTGCTAGAATTCATATCAAGACTGTTTGAATGGAATATATTTTAATTTTAGATTAATTCAGCCATTGGATAAGATAATTTTATCGAATAAGTAAACTGTATAATATGAATTTTGCTTGTAATATTAATTGCTAATTTTTTTTTTTTAATTGTAACATAGGCTTATAATAAATCTTATTCATTTTTATAAATCTATTTTTTGATACTTATAATTACTATATTATGATTATAAATCT